AGGAAGCAGAGAGGTCAAGGGAGGAGCTGGGAAGGGAGATACACCCAGAGTGACTGGCTTCTTACCAGACCCCATCTCCTTACAGCGAGTCAGCCAGAAGCCCCCATAATCCAATCATCTTCCAGACACATGGGGTCTTGGGGCCATTTTAGATCTAAACTACTTCAGGACTCATTCAAACAGCAGCAAGTACCTGCCATGACTGAGCACTGCTGAAGGTGCCAGGAGCACAGAAACAAATATGAGAAATGACCCCTGACCACAGGCTGGGGCTGCAGGCAGAATGAGCTGTGTGGTGCTTACTAACAGAACTGTGGAAAGAGTATGAACAGTGAACCATGGGAATTGGCCTGCGGATATTCAGGGCTGGAGCAGTGTCTCAGAAGCACAAGTACTTGAGGGAGACAGAGAAGTTCAGGGCAGAGCATTCAGGCAGAACGCGAGGCAGAAACTGGTGTGGTTGTAACAGTGGGTGGATGTGGGCATGGCTTGTGTGGACATAGCAGAGGCCAGACAGAAAACCAGGGTCACCTTCAAAGTCTGCCTAAGTGCTAGGATCACCAGGGAGCTGTAGAACTTTCCAATGCTCATGCTGGGCCAGTAAGAGCAGAATTTCTGTCAGTACACCAGGTTTGGGAGTTTTGGAAAGCTGCTCCTCTGCCTTTAATATTCAGCATCAATGAAGGGCAGAGATTTGCAGTGTGTGGCCGGCCCGTGGAGGAGCAGCATCAGCGTTATCCAGGAACGTGTTAGAGATGCAAGTTCTCAGGTCCCAGCCCAGACCCGGTGTCATCGTTTTCTACCCTGAAACTTGGTAACTTTAAAGGAAAGAAGTTTCCTTGTTGAGTTTAATGGCAATTTAAATGCCTGCATGGAATTTCCACTGTTGCAAAAAGGAGCATTACTGGCTGTGATTAAAACACTAGAAGCACCTTAACATTATTTTCACAGTTATGAATAATTTATTTTTTAACTTAATGTTGCATTAATGCTGCTGTGAATGTCATTCACTTCCCTCCTATTTCGAGGGAAAATATAGCAAACTACTTGCACCGTCAAAAGGGCTGGGCATTCTTACAAGTCAGGCATAAGACAGGGGGCTCAGATGGGGTTATGCTATTCTGGTTCTAAGGGTAGTGAAGGGATTTACTTATCCAAGGCTTCACAGAGAGCAAGAGGAGCGTGGAGTTTGAACCCTGGCAGCCTGACTCCAGGGCCTTTGCTCACATTTCGTAACTGGCAGGAGCAAAGTCATATTCTACACCCTGATCCTCCTCCTCCTCCTGCTCCTCCAGCCCTAGCCTCCCTGCCTTTGAGCATTTGGAGCTGGGACTGGGGGAGAAGGTCTCCCGCCCTCTGTTGTTTGATCTTGATGGAGAGGTCCCTTAGAGAGGGACTGAGCGTTTGCAGGACTTGGCTGCCACTGTGACTTTTCATGGCAGATTCTGCAGATAGGAGTTTGAGTTACCTACAATCTAGGGCCCTGTGCAAATGAATGCATGGAGTGACAGCTCGCTTGTCCTGGAGGTCCTGTGGGCAGCTGTAACCCGAGGCCCAGAGAGCGGCATTAACAAGGGAGTGTCCCAGGAAGTCAGCAGAGTGAGGGCCCCTGAGCTGCAGCGTAAGGGGGCTGGCAAGGCTTCCTGGAGTAGGAGCTGAGGTTGGAGAGTTACTTTACAAGGCCAGATACTTGAGGACAAGCTCAGGATGTAATTATTTCACAGAAAGGTTTATATTCCCCAGGTAAAAGGAAGCTAATTGAAATGTCAGCACCATCACCCTATGTTCACACCAAGTCGTTACCCTGTATGCCTTGTCGGACCCCTGCCGGAAGCCATCTCCAAGGAGCATTGTCTTTAATCAGAGAAGGCACTGATTTAGACAATGCTTCTCCAGCATGAATTAAAAAAAGTAAATGACTTAATCTCGGTTGGCCCAATGAAGCAGACACCTTTGAAGGAAGGGGCTGTCAGAAGAGCTAGAATTCCTCCTCACCCCACTGGGTTCACCTAATCGAAAAATCAAGTTTCTCTGGTGTGAAAAACTATAATTGTACATAGGATCCTAATGGTATAATTGACAATGTGAAATAGGAAGCAAAGGGCTAAAGGTGTAGGGGAAGTGGGAAGGGTCGAGGAAAGGAAATAAGGGAAAAGAAAACAAAGTGAGAAAATAAAAAAATGGAAATAAAGTTTTTGTAAATAGGGAAGGGAGGAGGTGGGGGAAGGCAGGGCAGGGGTTTGGGGAAAAAATGAGAACCAAGACCTGTCATGTAAAGGTACAAGATCCTAGTGATGAATGTAACTACTGTATACCTAAAATGTACCAATAAACTCAATGAGAGGAAAAAAAGAAAAATCAAACCTGATCAAGGCCTCCGCTTCTCCCATAGCAGTGTGAGCTCTGTGAGGTCAGAATGTCTTCCTGGTTTTCTAGAGGCAGAGGAGAGAGGAGGGACAGAGGTATTATCATTCCTTAAGGAAAAGTGAGGGTCCCTGGCCTGCACTTGAATAGGAGACAGTGTTACGGTTTAGATCCCCGCAAAGCCCCTTGTGTTCAGCCCCATGTGTGGGGCTTTTGGAAGGTGGCAGGATCAGGGTGCTGTACTTATCCCTGGATTCATCCATTGATGAGTTCATAGCTGGAAGTACTGTCACGAGGTGGAGCCTGGGTGCAGGAGGCAGGTCAGTGGGGTGTGCCTGTGGAGGGCCTATCTCTTGCTCTGGCTCCTTCACTTGCTCTCTGCTTCTGGCTGCCATGAGTTGGGAAGCATTTTCCTGCCAATCTCCTTTGCCGTGATGTTTCTACCTTGAAGCCACTGACCATGGACTGAAACCTCTGAAATTATAAGTCAAAACAAGCATCTCCTTCTTTAGGTAATATATGACAGGTCCTTTGTCCTAGCAATGAAAAAGTGAGTAAGAAGATGGCCTGTGATTATGCTTTAGTGGGTCTGAGGTAGGGTTAGCATCTCATCCAGAAAATGATAACCACCACTGACTCTGTCCCTGGAATCACACCCATCCACATATAAGGAATTTGAAGTTTGAAAAAAAGAAAGCAATTTGACCAGGGTTATATAGCTAGTACATGGCAACATCAGCATGTGCTCTAGGAGGGGCTGTCTTTTCAGCCTCAGGCTCCCTGATGTTCTTTGTGGGTTGCTTTGAATACTACAACTCCCCACCCCCAGCATAAGCCACAAAGAGAGAGGGTTATTTCGGCACACAGATGTAGAGGTTTCAGTCTGATGGGTTGGTCCTGGTGCTTTGGGCTGTGGCCAGGCAGCACATCATGGTGAGAGCTCACCTCATGGCGGGAAGTGAAAGTTTCCAGGATCTTGCCTCCTCTGACAAAAGGCCTCTCACTAGGCGTTGCCTCTTAAAGGTTGCACCAAGTTGGGGTCCGAGCCCCCAGTACACGAGCCCCTGGGGGACAGCTGTCTGCATATTCCTCTTGGTTTTGTTTCTCATATAATAAATAAGTGTCTTAATGTGTTTGTGGTACAACAGTGAAATACTTTAGACTGGATAATTTGTAAACAACGGATATTTCTGGAGGCTGCAAAGTTCAAGGTCAGGATGCTGGCAGGTTTGGTGTCTGTCTCTGCTTTGTGGATCATGCCGTTTTGCAGTGTCCTCACTTGGCAGAGGGAGCCAAGAGGTTCTCCAGGGTCTCTTTTGTTATTAGTACACATTTGCAGTGTATAACGATTACATTTATCATGAGGAGTGGTACATGTATATATCACAGCTTAATTCTTTTTTATACCCCTTTACCTCCATCCCTCCCTGCTCCTTCTATCTCTTGGTCCCCTTCTTCAGGGCCTCTTTTATAATGGTACTATCTTAGTTACACTTATCCTTGCAGCTCCCTTCTCCTGCAGCTGCTGGGTGTGGAAGGGTTTGGAGCACTCAGCATTCTTTGGCAAGGTACACAGAATTCACGGAGTGACTGGGAATCTGCCTACAGGGCTTTCAGTCCCAAAGGGACTTCTTTGTACCTCAATTACCTTATTACGTCCTTTCACCCTTCCACCAGCCCTCCCATCCCTTCAGTTCTGTCTCCACGCTGGGAGCTGGGCTAGATGACCAATTTCCACTTTGAAGGTCAGGGAAGGAATGGAGAGTGGGTGGGGGGAGAGGGACAGTGGCCCATCTGCCTCTGGGTGCATCTGCTGTGCAGCCTGCCATGCTGGAGTGTAGCCCCTCCCCGCTCCTGTTCCTACATTGGCGAAGGCTACCTGGCTCTCTGAAGGGCATACAGCCCAAGGTCATCCCTGGGTCAAGCTGGTCTTGGGATGAGATGCTTCAGTTTTAGGTTCTGAGCTCTGCTGTCCTCACTTGTCTTTGCAGGACTCAGCAGGAGGATGGAGAGAGGGCCATACTGGAGGAGGCAGGCCTGTGGCAAACCATTTCAGTGTTAGGCCAAGCTAAGCCAGTTTCCAGAGTGGCCAAATTCACAGTGCTCAAGGGTAGGGACTGCACAGCAGACTTTGTGGGACTTTAGGCAGTTGCTTTAGCTTTATCTTAACTTTCTCTTCCAGAAAATGAGGTAAAGGGAGTCACCTCATAGACTGAGCAGTTAGCAAGCTAAGGTACATCGGATACTTAGCACAGGGCTGGCTCAGTGTACAGGAAGCACGGCCGACCCTGACCTGAAGGAGCAAGGGTACTTTTGGCAGAGAGTGGATGGAGGGCAGGCCAGGGCATGCACATAGCTGTAACCTGAGGGCCTTGCGAGGGAGAAATTAGCCAGGCTGCATTGCCAACCAGCTTCTGACTGTGGTTGGATGCTCTGGCTATGAGTTTGGAGTAGAGCCCAGCCAATCGCTCCGACCCACGTGAGCGTGTAACATTTGGAGCTAATTGAGTTTTTATTGGGGGAGCACAGACATAAAGTTCACCGCTGAATTTTCTATAAATGCTTTTTATTAGCCAGCACTTTACAACATGAGAGCTATTGAATTAAGGATCCATTAGTTTATACTCCCAGGGGAAGCAAGGATGCCTTCCTGTGTCCTTCGTGGAGATGAAGCCAAAAGGAATATGAGAGCCAGATACACAGGGAGGCCTGGCTGTCAGGAGGGTGCTGAGAGCCCTGGAAGATACGTTTCCGGGGAAGGAGGACAACAGGAGACCCAAAACAGTGTCGTTCTGTATTAAAAGCAAAGTTGTTTCTCGGTAAACATCACTGCATTTAAAGTGGTCTCCAGGATACCATTTCTGTGCTGTCTTTGGGTGTGAAGAGATAAAGTGTGTTCTTTGTACTCTGCTTCTACCTTGCTGGGCTCATTGTGCACTGGAAGTAGGTCTGCAATGAGACAAACATTGTCCTTGCCAGACAGGCTGACTACCCAGGGCCAGCTCTAGAGGACTTGGCATAACCATGAAACTACAAGGCTGGCCTACAGGCCAGAATGCCTCTGAGGCTTGGGCTTGGCTAGAAAGACATTCCAAGTGATAGGCAGCTGTCCACTCATAAACTGTTTGTGTGTGTGTTTGAATGGTGGCCCAGTCAATGACTAGAAACTGAGGGAAGGGACCAGATTTCTGGATGCAACCCTAGCAGAAGACCGGGTCTCTGTTGTGCAGGCTGTGCATTGTGCATGAGTGTCACTTTTTAGAGGGAACCACTCATATCACAGAAACCATACATTTCTATGTCTAGTTTGGTGATTCTGGAAAAGAGAAATAAAGCATCTCACTATAACAAAAATCAGAAAATGCAGTTTCCCAATTAATAGGAATGACGTATCTGAAGGGAGGAATCTTTTTTGGATTTATGCAAAGGTGTCACATAAGTTCCCTGTGTCCTCATGTTGGAATTGTGGGCTGGACTGACTTTTGGTAGGCAGGCACGAGAAGGTGGCTTGGGGTCCACACAGGATCTTTGGGCTCCTCCCTGGTACACTCAGTCTCACAAACCTGCCTTCTGTCTCCCTTAGAATGACATTCTACATTTTTTTAAAATCAAGTCATGGCAAACCTTGTCTGAGGACCCAAGGGACGAAGGGACAGGACAAAAGAGGGGAGACCTGGGGCAGTAATACTTGCTGGAGGTCCTGATCATAGGGTGAGAGGTAGGGGTGGGGGTGGCAGAGTAGGCTGCACAGAGTGGGGGTTTCCTTGAGTGACTCGGGCAAGGGGGATGGCAGCAGTTTCATGTGTGGGCCGTGGTGTGGCCAGCAGTGCTGGGATGGAGATGTGAATGCTGGGACACAGGGGTCCCCTTGGAGGTCTTCAACACTGAGCCTAGCAGGTCTTAAGGTTAGGGCCAAAGGGAGAATGCTATTGTTTCATCTTGTGGCATTGGGATGCTGTAATTTTCAAATTGTTTTTGGAGGAACATGAGTCCTGAGACACATTTGACTGAACAAACAAACTAACCTTCAGAACACACACCCAGGGCGGGCAAGGCAAAAGTCCCATGCTCTGTGTGTGTGCTGTTCTGAGGTGATCCAGCCACTGAGCCTGCTTTCACTTTCCTGCAGCCTGAGTTTCTTGAACAGACTGTCTTGAGACTTTACATTAATTGCCCTAGAAGCTAGTTCTGGGGTCCTCAGAGTACAAAATGAGGTGAACAGGGTTTCTCCCTGAGCCAAAACTCCTGCCCTGCCTTGAAGAGCAGATGGTCAGGTGTCTTCTACTCTCCAGGCTCAGTAGGAGTTGAGCTTAGCCTTCAGAAACTCCCTGCTCTGCCTGCTGTTCTAACCCTGCTATGAAAACTCTCTTTGTTGCCACCTTTTCCACCAATGAGCCACCTGGAAAAGGGAGACAAATAGGTTAAGTATCCTTTTGTGACCACAGAACAGGAGAGGAAGTATGCTAGCCAGCTCTGACTCACTGTGACAAAATACCCAAGGTGAACCACTGAAAAGGAGGACATACTTATTTTGGTTCATGGTTTCGGTTCACAGTTGCTGACTTCATTTTCTTTGTAACTGTGTTGGGGGAAGCTGCTCACCTAGGAAGCAAAGAGAGACAGAAAGGAAGACCAGGGCTGAGGACCAAGCTTTCAACATAGGGGTTATTAGGGGCAGCTGGATTTAACCTTAATGGAAAATGGGGGCTTCTTTCCCCAGAGTCCCCTTCACCTCTCACCTGCCTCTTCCCACCATTCCTCCTGTTGAGGTCTTGACCCCCAGGTCTTCAGAGGTTTAAACCTTTAAAGAGCTGATAAAGGTAAAAGGATATTTTGGGCATGTATGATGGTGTCCTTTTAAGAAGAGGTGATTAAGACCCAGACTCGAGCGTTCTTCTCGCTGTGCCCTCCCCGCAGCGGTCGCCATCTTCAGCGCCGGAGGGTCTTCGCAGCTGCTCTCCTGCACGCTGCGTTCAGACGTCTTCAGCGCCCGAGGGCCTTATTGGCCACGCCCTCCCCGCAGCGGTCCGCCATCTTTAGAGACGGAAGGTCCTTTTCGGCCACGCCCTCCCTGGCGGAGTTCCCACCGTCTTCAGCACCAGAGGGTCTTCTGGGCCTTGCCCTCTCCTGCCAGCTGCCCGTTCCGCCATCTTCAGC